TATAATATATATATGAGCAATATCACTCGAGTACGAGAGCGATACCGGATCTATATCAGCATGGCTGTGATTAGGCCAGAGGCACGTATCGCTCGAGTACGAGAGTGATATTGCGTTTATACAACAGTTCGACGGAACATGTGTGTAATTAAACAAGAAACAACAGAGTGCCTAATAAACCCTCTTTTGTGCGGAACTACTTCCTTCCACCACGGATTCAAAGCTCAAGTTGACAGTTAAACATACGTCACTTTTAGAATTCGTATCAAGGGCATGTGCTGCTTCTGTTAGGTTATTGGTGAGAAATAATGAGGTTATAAGAGAAACAATGCGGCAAGACGTGCATCCAAATGAGAGAGAGACCGCGAAGCTAGACGTTTTAAAGTGGTTTTGGCAACTTTTTAGCTGGTCAGGCTGATCTTAGCTGGTCAAGCTGTGAGACCTGCTAAAAGACCAACCAATCTTAACCCAGATATTTTAAGACTAGGCAACCAGCCTAAGCTGGTTTTTAGCAGAGTTTTTTACTGAATCAACTGAGTTTAGCTGGTTTTCACTGTATTACCATAGAAACATGCAAACAACATGCTAGTTACTTGCTAATCATGCTAACAACATGCTAGTAACATGTTAATCATGTTAGAAACAAGCTAGCAAACACGCTAATCATGCTAACAACATGCTAGTAACATGCTAATCATGCTTGCAAACATGCTAGTAACTGATAATCATGCTAGAAACATGCTAATCATGCTAACATGTTAGTAACTTGTTAATCATGTTAGCAACATGCTAGTAACATGCTAATCATGCTAGCAACATGCTATTAAAATGCTAAACATGCTAGCAACATGCTAGTGACTTGTTAATCACGTTAGCAACATGCTATTAACATGTTAACCATGCTAGAAACATGCTAGCAACATGATAGCAACTTGTAAATCATGTTAATAAAATGCTGTTAACATGTTAATCATGCTATTAACATGCTAATCATGCTAGAATCATGTTAACATGTTAGTAACAATGCTAACCATGATAGCAAAATGCTAGTAACTTGTTAATCATGTTAGAAACATGCTAGCATTATGCTAGCAACATGCTAATCATGTTAGTAACAGGTTAATCATGCTAGAATCATGTTAGTAACTTGCTAATCATGTTAACAACATGTTAGTAATTTACGTGCTAATAATGCTAACACCATGCTAGTAACATGCTAATCATGCTAACAACATGCTATTAACTTGTTAATCATGTTAACAAAAATGCTAGTAACTTGCTAATCATGCTAGAAACATGCTAGCATTATGCTAGTAACATGCTAATCATGTTAAAATCATGCTAGTAACATGCTAATCATGCTAGAATAATGCTAGCAACATGCTAGTAACTTGCTAATCATGTTGACAACATGTTAGTAACATGCTGGAAACATGCTAGTAACTTGCTACTAATGCTAACAAAATGGTAACACCATGCTAGTAACATGTTAATTGTGTTAACAACATGCTAGTAACATGCTAATCATGCTTGCAAACATGCTAGTAACTGATAATCATGCTAGAAACATGCTAATCATGCTAACATGTTAGTAACTTGTTAATCATGTTAGCAACATGCTAGTAACATGCTAATCATGCTAGCAACATGCTATTAAAATGCTAAACATGCTAGCAACATGCTAGTGACTTGTTAATCACGTTAGCAACATGCTATTAACATGTTAACCATGCTAGAAACATGCTAGCAACATGATAGCAACTTGTAAATCATGTTAATAAAATGCTGTTAACATGTTAATCATGCTATTAACATGCTAATCATGCTAGAATCATGTTAACATGTTAGTAACAATGCTAACCATGATAGCAAAATGCTAGTAACTTGTTAATCATGTTAGAAACATGCTAGCATTATGCTAGCAACATGCTAATCATGTTAGTAACAGGTTAATCATGCTAGAATCATGTTAGTAACTTGCTAATCATGTTAACAACATGTTAGTAATTTACGTGCTAATAATGCTAACACCATGCTAGTAACATGCTAATCATGCTAACAACATGCTATTAACTTGTTAATCATGTTAACAAAAATGCTAGTAACTTGCTAATCATGCTAGAAACATGCTAGCATTATGCTAGTAACATGCTAATCATGTTAAAATCATGCTAGTAACATGCTAATCATGCTAGAATAATGCTAGCAACATGCTAGTAACTTGCTAATCATGTTGACAACATGTTAGTAACATGCTGGAAACATGCTAGTAACTTGCTACTAATGCTAACAAAATGGTAACACCATGCTAGTAACATGTTAATTGTGTTAACAACATGCTAGTAACATGCTAATCATGCTTGCAAACATGCTAGTAACTGATAATCATGCTAGAAACATGCTAATCATGCTAACATGTTAGTAACTTGTTAATCATGTTAGCAACATGCTAGTAACATGCTAATCATGCTAGCAACATGCTATTAAAATGCTAAACATGCTAGCAACATGCTAGTGACTTGTTAATCACGTTAGCAACATGCTATTAACATGTTAACCATGCTAGAAACATGCTAGCAACATGATAGCAACTTGTAAATCATGTTAATAAAATGCTGTTAACATGTTAATCATGCTATTAACATGCTAATCATGCTAGAATCATGTTAACATGTTAGTAACAATGCTAACCATGATAGCAAAATGCTAGTAACTTGTTAATCATGTTAGAAACATGCTAGCATTATGCTAGCAACATGCTAATCATGTTAGTAACAGGTTAATCATGCTAGAATCATGTTAGTAACTTGCTAATCATGTTAACAACATGTTAGTAATTTACGTGCTAATAATGCTAACACCATGCTAGTAACATGCTAATCATGCTAACAACATGCTATTAACTTGTTAATCATGTTAACAAAAATGCTAGTAACTTGCTAATCATGCTAGAAACATGCTAGCATTATGCTAGTAACATGCTAATCATGTTAAAATCATGCTAGTAACATGCTAATCATGCTAGAATAATGCTAGCAACATGCTAGTAACTTGCTAATCATGTTGACAACATGTTAGTAACATGCTGGAAACATGCTAGTAACTTGCTACTAATGCTAACAAAATGGTAACACCATGCTAGTAACATGTTAATTGTGTTAACAACATGCTAGTAACATGCTAATCATGTTAGAAACATGCTAGTAACTTGCTAATCATTTTAACAAAATGTTAACACCATGCTAGTAACTTGCTAATTATGCTAGTAACGTGCTAATCATGCTAACAACATGTAAACCATATTAGAAACATGCTAATCATGCTATCAACATGCTAGTAACATGCTAATCATGATAAAAACATGTTATCAACATGCTAGTCATGCTAGAAACAGCCTAGCAACCATCCCAGGTACCCTAGCAATATGTTTTATATCTATTTTCTGATAGACTGTATTGCCTTGAAAACATTCAAACTTTAATCTTTAAAACTATTTTTACTTTCAAACTGAAAACTTTCAGACTGCAAGCTTTTAAAACTACTTCAAACTTTCTGGCTAGGCTTTTTCAAGCCAACTTAAAGTTTGTCTAAAACTTTACTCATCTAGTTTTCTTTTTGCAATTTTTTTTTTCCTTTTAATTTTGGGTGAAATGCATTTCTCAATAGTTTTTAAGAGATTAACCGCTGAAAATGGCAGCCTAAAAGTCACTAAGCAGATCATAGATGCATATTGGTGGAAAACTGTGTGGTATCATCTCACAGTTGATAGGGTCTACTTTGTATCTACTTGTTTGGTGGTCTGTAAAATAAGTTATCTAATTCCCTGTTCATTCAGGTGGTGTGCAGAAGGAGGCAGCCTAATTGGCTGTGATTACTGCAGTAACGCCTTCTGTAAGAAATGTGTTCTGCGTAACCTGGGGAGGAAAGAGCTGTCCACCATCCTGGAGGAGGAGAGGAAGTGGTACTGTTATGTGTGCAGTCCCGAGCCATTGGTGGAGCTGGTTTTGGCCTGTGATGCGGTTCTAGAGAACCTGGAGCAGGCTCAGAAACGAGCCTCCCGTACTGAGCCAAACTCAGTCCGGGGCAGGGCTAATAAGGGTGGTCGTGGTGCGGCCTATTTGATGGGGCCAGGAGGCGGCCCAGTGCCCTCTGCAGGCCTTTACCAGCGAATGCAGCGGTTTGTAGATGTTACCACATCTCTGAACCATTCCTTCAAGGCAGTTGTTCAAAACGAAAGAGAGGAGGAAGGAAACCAAGAAGAGAGAATTGGGCAGCTAAGGATGTTCCGCACTGTGCTGGATGATCTGCAAGCCGCCAACAGTGCATTACAGGTAATTCCAGCCTTAAATCACGCTTTTACCAGTTAAGCTGTAAGAATGATGGGTGCTTTAACTAACCATTTCATTTCAATTATGGATGCACCAATAAGCTGGTAATCATTGTTTCATTAAGACTGTTAACCAAAAAAAATCTAATTTAGTTTTAACAAGTTAAAAATAAAACACAAAAACTAAAATGAATCATTTTAAATGTTAGTAAAAATGAATTCAGGCATCTTAACATTATAATGTACAGTAGGATAAACAGATATTCAATTTGAGATGAATACAGATTACATTTAAGTGTCAATTAAATAAATTATTAGTGTTTAAAAATGAACTTCAACTGAGCGTAGGTAATTAAGTGTAAAAATTGGAAAATGAGCCTGCACGATAATAAATAAATTATCAAATATTCAATATAATTAATATATAAAATATATCTTTTATATAATGATTATAATAATGTTTTTACAAGAAGTCTCTTAAGCTCACCAAGGTTGCAATAATTTGATGAAAAATATGGTGAAAACAATATTGTGAAATATTGTTAATTAAAAAAAATAACATTTAAATATTTATTCCTGTGATGGCAAAGCTAAATTATCAGCAGTCATTACTTCAGTCTTCAGTGTCGCATGATCCTTCAGAAATCATTTTAATATGCTTATTATATGGTGCTTAGAAAACATTTTGGTAACACTTTCTATGAAGCCCATATTTATAACACATTATAAGGGTATTCTTAAGGCATTATAATGAATGCATAATGCATTATAAAAGACCTTATAATATGTTATATCATCTTATAAATAACCATAACAACAATTACAGTACATTATAATGCTTATGCATTTGTGGTTATAAGTTTTAAGGTTATGATTATTTATAACACACAATGAACACCATATAAAATCTATTTTTACATTTACAATGGACTATATATCTTGACATCTGCACAGTATCTTACTACATATTGTAAGTGGTTAGGTGTGGAGTGTTATTTGAGTGTTCCCTGTGAGGCTAATATTAATTTTGATGTGAGCAAGTTAATAATTTAAACAAAAAAAAAATTCTTATATGTTTATATGTTAGGTTACATTTTATTTTCATGGTCCCCCTAGTCTAT